CAGGGCCCCGCCGACCCGCTGCTGCTCAAGCTGCTGCGCCTGGCCCAGCTCTGCACCGAGTACCTGCTGCACTCGCAGGAGTACCTCAGCGCCCAGCTCGGCAGCCTGGAGGAGGCCCTGCGGGCCGCCCAGGCCCAGCGCGACCAGCTGGGCAAGGAGGTGGCCCACCGCTCGCAGGAGATCAAGGGGCTCAAGGAGGAGTGCCGCCGGAGGAAGAAGATGATCAGCACCCAGCAGATGATGCTGGAGGCCCGAGCCAGCTACCACCAGGTGAGAGGAGAGGTCCTGGCGAGCCGGTCACTCACACCTTGCCAGCTCCGAGGCTCCCCGGGGACGGGTGGCAGAGCAGTCCCCTCTGCTGGGGCGCAGTCGCTTGCTGGGCGAGAGGCTGGGGCTGCAGGGGGCGGTGACCCTGCAAAAAGGGAGTGCATCGCTTGCAGGTGCTTCACTTCCCATCTGTGTTTCACAGACGTTTGGCTGGTATCACAGATGTTTGGGAGAGTGCTCTATCATTAACAAATCCTCCTTTTACTGACAAGTGCTCTTTATTCTTGGATTCGCTTTTGACGCATCTGCAGTGTCAGATACACGCACATACAAAACCTGCGATAAACACGTTACTACTTTCTGTTGCTGTCTCTCCTTGCCTATCAGCTACACGGTCAGAAAACACACAGCGCGAGTACATGAGAACTGGCGCTAAGCGGTAACCTACCTGTCTGCAAGCTGTCACTTTCCTGCAGTAACATTCTCCAGGCACAAAGTTTCTACTTGTGTGTGTGACTCAGAAGTGACTCAGGCACGATGGTAGAGAGCCCCAGTCAGGTAGCTCATCCCTAACTCCACAGCAATCTGTTCCATAAGGATCTTCCCTAAGAGCCTTAGTACATTGCTGTTCTGACTCTCTGTGTCATGGCACTCTGGTTTTTTTGGGAGGGGTTTTTGTGTTCTGGGTGTAATAGTTTGATTTAAATATTTTTCAGCTTCGGCTTTTTTCAGCAGGTTTCAGGAATGCAGACTGCAGCTTCAAATGTAGTCTGAAGTCTAGAGAATACACTGGACACAGACTTGACATGGTTTCAGGCTAGCTCTTTGTGTTTATATGTTTAAAGTTATAGTTTTCTTCCTTTTTTTAAATTCTTGGGATACTAACAGTCCTGATTGTTGAAATTCTCCTTAATCACGGAATAGTTGCAGTACAGAACCAATGCAGGTTTTCTTACAGTGTGTACAATCTCATCGCACAATATAATACCAATTTCAGCAGGCTGGGAAAGTTCATTTTTTTAAGACATCAGCTAAGTAGGCCTAAGTGTTTCTGTAGGGGAAAAGATACCTTATGCCCCAAGAGTAGGGCTATACATATGGCAGACTTCATGGGAACCTTGTCTCAATGCATTCGAGCGTTAGTCTTAAGGACAAGCTGCTAATGTTGAATCGTTTTAAAAAGCCTTTATGCAACTTACAGAGCAGTTTGTCTGTCCTGTGTTGCAAAAGAAAACTGATTGCATGCATGATTTTATGTGTAAAGTTAAGTAATTCTCATACTGTGATTGCCAGTTAAATATTACCAAGTTTTCCTGAAATATTTGTAGGATACATCTGTCTCAGTGGAAGCTGAAGAACATGGTAGGTGATCTTGGCTTATCACTAATCTTCTGTTCAGTGACATTTACAATAAAGCAGAGATGGAAAGCTATTTCCCATTTTTAGTTTAATTTCATATAAAGTAAACACCTGCCCTCCCCCCCTTTTTCCTCTCTGTTAGTAAATTCTTATCTCTAGAAGTTATTTAGGTTCACATGGGAAAAGTGAGTTCAGGAAGTGACGTTCCTGCCATTCCTACAGTGTTTTCAGGATTCTGAGTGTGAATGCCAGAGATAAATTAAACTGTTCCTAGGGTTTGTAAATGCAGGGCAGCAGTGTGATCTGTAGCCAGGAACTGTGTGTTATTTATGTGTGCCATGGTCTTGGCTGATTTGCAGTGCCAGCTAATAAGGGTTTTGCTGGTGTTCCTGGGAGGGTAGTTCAGGTTTCATCCCCTTAAAGTCTTGGCTGTTTAGCAAACAAGCCTGTAAATAGTTATTTGGCTTTTTTAGTGGAGGCACACTTTATATCTAATGTAACCATGCTTTGGAATTCAGATTTAATGCCTTTAACCCACCCCCAATGTAAGTTCAACCATGAAATACTGCTATAAAATGGTACTGGTACCTACAAGTCATAAATTTAAGACTCATTGGTCAATATCTTCATCTGAGGAATACAAACTTAATTTTAAATGATAATTTTTAATCTTATATTCTCATGCACAATGTAGGCATAAAGTGCACATTGTGTCTAACACAGTGAAAAGTAGTTGCAAGAATAATGTTACATAATTCAAAACCTAAATATTCCCTGTGTTAATCCTGTCTCCTGCAGTAAGAGCTTTCTTTCATTACCAGCAAGTCAAACTGACATGAAGTTTGTGCTTGAATGAATAACATTATTTCACAGCCAATTTCATTCCATAAATCATGTGCAATCTGTTACACTGTGAGCTCCCTCTTGGTCAGCAGCAATGCTTTGCTGCCATACTGTATCTCTCTACTTTGGTTTTGTGTTAGCACTTTTTGGCATTTGTCCAACAAAATTTGTCTTAATAATTCATGGCTTTAGTGTTTGCTGAAAGATACCTATATTTAATAGCCTACCTGCCTATCGGTGGCAGTATTTTAAATATTAGATGAAATCTGGGAATTTGATTATGGTGATAAGGTCTTGAATCTGCTAAGTCAGTCTCTTACAGTCATATCACATTGATGAGGAAAAAGGACTCAGCTGAGTATTTGTGGTTTGTTAAAATATATGTATTTGGAAAAACAAGTATTTATTTGAAAGAAAGAGGTAACAAGCAACCCTGCCTAAAGCGATTAGGGGCTTTGATTCACATTCTTACCAGTATGTTGCAAAATCTGTAGATGTAGCTTCTGATGTACCAAAAAACAGATGTACCAATCTGTTTTTTACATTCTGAACATTAGTGGAATGTACTTTGAAGGTGAACAAAAAACATCTTTTAAAATGGGTAGGATCCAAATTTTACTTAAAATATAACTTAAAATTCAAATTAAAAAATAGTAAGTAAATTCTAGGAAGAGTAATTTAAACAGTTTGCAATTCAGAAGGATGCTAGGTAGCATACTAATGTATGTATGTACCTTTTCTTGCAAAATTGTGTATTGTTACTTTATTTTGGTTGAAATGTCTGACCTTTTTACCTATCTATGGTCCTTCTAGTGCTGTCATCTTACAACTCATTTATGTATACTCAAACCAATCTTTATTGGGTTTTTTTTTTTCCTGACTGTATGGTGTTCTCTTTTAAGATACAATAGTCTTAGAATACCTGAGCTGCTAGTTGGCTGGAGTCGGTGTGTATTTTGCTGAATAGTATTGTGTTACTTTTTCCTTATAATTCTCTGCCTATCTATATTCATCTCTTATCTGTGGTTTATATCTGAATTTAAACTTCCTTGGTCAGAGTCTTTTTTGTTCGGAGTTTGTACAGTGCCTAGCACAATGGGATTCTTGCCTATGCCAGTCACTGAGAGACATTAAATAACACAAATACATTAATAACTTTACAGAAATCTGGCACTGTGAGAATTGTAGTCATTATTCTTATGAAATGGAATTTATTAAAGTTACCTACTTTTGACTTTGAGACAAAATGTAATAACCTGTTAAAAACCTTAACCGCTATACTTACTAAACGGATGCTACTAATAATAACTAAAATGTTTTTATCTGGTTTTTGTAGTGTCAGTTTTGTGAAAAGGCTTTTATGAACTATTCCTTTTTACAAAGTCACATGCAAAGGCGTCATCCAGAAGAATCTCAGATTGGTATGTACTTTAATGTTATCAAAAAATTGATATAAATAGTTTAGAAAAGTGTAAATATAGTGAGGATGTGCAGTCTGTGATTTTGTGTAACTGGGAAGAATGATTTTCACATTTCATTTTGTAGGTGGCAGATACCAATTTGTGTGAATACAAGCAACACTGACTGATGAAATGTGTTGGGTGACATGTTTCAGTCTCTGGAAAATAATTAACAAAAAATTGTATGCTGTGTTTACAGTACCTTTTCAAACCTGCATTCCCACTGAATACTTTATTCAATAGCAGAGTTCAGAGCACAATTTCTCTTTAGGCATGTGTGTTATGAAGGTGTGGGTAAGATGAACAAGTTGCGCTAGGGCAAGTACCTTTTGTGAATACATATCAATTATCAGTACAGAAATAATCCAGCTCACCTGAAATCAGTTTGAATAGGATCAGGCTCTCCTGAACTAAACTGGCTCTAAAATATAGTGAGAAAAAGAAACTGTCAAGAAAATCTAACTTCATGTATCTACGATAACCTTGGTTGCAATACCACTAACTTATATACTTTTGTCTCTCTTGATTGAAAAATGTTTAGTTTGAAAAACATTGCTCTCAAAGTTTATTTCATTCATCTCTACATTCTCTCCCTCCTGTTAGGCTCCATGCTTATGATTTATTGCTAAGGACTGACAAGTGCTGGCAAATGGCAGTGATTAGAAAAGGAAAAATTAGATTAGATTAGGAAAAAAGAGCATTTGGGAGGAGAAAGAGTGGGAAGAATCTAGCAAGGTCTGAACTGTAGTTTGTCAGGCAAATAAAACAACAGGAGAAGTGAGGGGGTCTGAGTAGGCATCTGAAGAAGCGTTAATGTATTGGAAGAAGAAAAAAACTTTTGTCCACTTTGTACTTGATAAAAATGATCGTGGAAGTAGCTGCAGAACCAGTTGAACTAATTATCGTATAAAGAATTAGTCTGAAATGGCTGTACAAGGGAAATACTCCATGCAGTTATTTCTGAAATAAATATTCTGTGTTGTGCTCAGATTCCCAGATGATGGGCAGCCTAGTAAGTCCTGGGTAAATTGGTAAAATGTTTCAAGATTAAAGATTGTTACAATTTTTGCGTGTTCGTAAAATGTTTTTTAGAGTGACATTCCCGCAAGTCATTCCAGATAAAAAGTTGTATTCCAAATGGACTCCTTACTAAAGTTGTTCAGAATAAATTAAACCTAACAGAATTGAACCGTTGACGTTCACTTTGTCCTTCATACATCCTTTTTTGAGCCCGTGTTGCTTAGATTCCTTTGAAATTAGATCATATAATACTTTTTTGTGTAAATATTTTATAAACTATTTCACATGTCAGTAATTCTGATATTTTTCAGTCTTTGAGGATGTTAGCAGTCCAGAGAACATATGTATTTAAACCATCTTTGGAGACTCGTGATAGTAGGAAGGGAAATGGTCTGTGTGAGTCACACTTCATGAAGATGTTATTGAAACACTATAGAAACACATTTGCAGTAAGTATCATGTTTCCAGAAACTGCAACAAACATTTTTAAAATCTGTGTTTCTTTCAAACAGAGCAGAAGAGGAAAGCAAAGACAGACAAACTGCAGGATGAGATTGATAAACTGAAGGAGCAGTTGCAGCTCACCAAGTCTCAGTTAGAGGCTGAACAACAGGCTAATATGGTCAGGTTTTCTAAGGTAATGTGTAGTAAGTAACGTGAACCTTTCAAAAGAATTAGTACTTTGGACTGTGTTCACTCATTTTGTAACTGGAACAGAACAAAAATGTGTCTACAGCTTGTCTGTCTGTCAGCAATGGTGCTTGGATGTTAAGAGCATAGCCCTCCCTCGCCTCCCATCATTTTGAACATCCACTTTCTCCTTACTTTCCATTTTAGACATACTTTAAATGAATACTTGAGACAACATTTCTGTTAGCACTTGCCAGTTCATAAGATGTGTGGCTTGTTACTGAAGCAGATAAAATTGCCCTGCTTTGGTGAAATATAAGCTATTTTTGACATTATGATATTTTGTGATGATTAAGTGTTTCTTAGATATGACTGTGATTTTTACATGTGACTTTATAAACTGACTAGGGTTTATTCTTTGCTGTGGAGAACTTTACTGTCTAACAGAGGTGTAAGGCAGTTCAAGGAAGAGAGACTGAGAAGAAACAAAGCAATCTAGAACTTGTATGTTGGTCTTTAAATCCTTAGGATTTGGCTGACCAGAAAGCCAAAGCAGAAAGTAGTCTTAGCTACTGCTGTGTGAATAAAAAGACCTTAAACCAGAATGATTTAAAAACAGTAATTATCTATTTGTAATCAAATGCAAGGCTTTGTTTAGGACGATACTGCATCTTGTAAGTATGCTTACTGGCTCATAAGGAGAAAAAAGAATCTCTACGTTACCTGTTTAATTTTTTTTTTTTTTTTAAAGCTTGATAATCTCAGATCATCTCACAATCTTCATTTCTGTTTAAGTAAATACAATCTGATAATTTGCTATCAAAATAGGGATGGAAATTTTTTTAACAGGGAGGGGCTTTGCACTTCAATTTGACGAGCAAATTCTTGGCATAAGAGACAAGATACTTCTAACGATTGAGCTAAACGCTGATCTTCATGTTGCAGTTTGCCCTGTATCACATTCAACAGCAGTGTTTTGTGGAGGTTAATACAACCTGTTAAGAACCTTCTCCCAGTATTCAGAACTTCTACATGGCTTTCCTAGTGGAGTTTGAGGACCTTCAAACTTAAAGCCAACCATTACATTTGGAAACAAACACTACATTTTAAATTTCAAGGGAATAAACAAAACATGGCTATCATTAATTATTTTCTTCCTTGTTTTCAGAGGAAAACCTGACCTTCTGTAAAACGTGCAGTGTTTCTTTCCCTGAACACAGCTTCAGACTCTCCTTTCTTCAGTCCTCTTGTTCCCCTTTTCTCAGTATCATTCAACTTCCTGGGTTTTTTTCAATTTTCAAAAGTACTGAATGACCAAATGAAGAGCGTGGGTAGAGTTTCACTTAGGAGCACTATCAGAATAATGGGCCTTGGCCCTATGTGGACATCTGCTAGGTATTCTATTCGTTCATTCGGTGCCTCACTTTTGAGAGGTACATTATAACATATTTCTCTTGCCCCTGAAGCATTGTTTTTCTTATGAGATGGAATTTGGAGCATTCATAACAGTGCAGCATAGATTTTTTGGTGCCTTAGGGGCTTATTGTGAAGTCAGTTGTCTTAGCTGAGACTCCTAACTACAAGGGGACTGTATCAAATGTCCTGAAGCTACAGCCTGCAGTGTTACACAAGAAGAAGCTTCAAAGCTTCTGTGTTTTTCTGGGATGTCAGGGAAGATACAAATGTGAAGTGTGGCTGTATGCAGTTTGTCTGCTATGACTGACATCCACTGTTGATTCAGGTATCATTATGTTGCTGTCTTTTGATTGAAAGAGCAGAAGATCTTTCCCTCGTGTTATTTTTAGGAGAACCACTACTGGAGGGAATTTGGATAAAGACTGTCATGCTTCCAATTCTTGGTCCCTTCTACCCCTCTGAGGTGAAAGGACACAGAAGATCCCGTTCTTCATAAGTGTATAATGATTACTTGTTACAGTTAGTCAGAGAACAAATCAGAGTGAATGCTGTGATGAAAAGATGTAGAGGTTGCCTAAAAAGTGTGTATGTTCTGGGCAGTGAAATGCAGGACTTTGAACAAGTTGGGGACTGTACAAAAATGAGTGACTAGGTAACAGAATGGCAAAAGTAATTTGACAGATAAAGTGGGGTAAATGTATACGGGTAAAAAATAATTCTAACTTCATCTACAAAATGATGGGTTCTGAGCTGAATGTTATTACTGAAGGGCGAGATCTTCAGGTTGTGATACATAGTTCACAACCATTTCATAGGAGATGTCAGCCCAGTGGTTAGTAGCAGCCAGCAAAGAAAATCAAATATTATGAATTATTCTGAAAAATCACTGTGCAAGCCACAGCATGAATACTCTGTGTAGATCTAGTCCCTTCATCTCAAAAAGGATATGATAGAATTAAATATCCTGGAGGTATTTAAAAGACATGTAGATGTGGCACTTAGGAACATGGTTCAGTGGTGGACTTGCCAGTGTTAGGTTTGCAGTTGGACTTGATAATCTTAAAGGTCTTAGCAGATATTAGTATCTCACCTTCCATCCCCACCAAGCTGTTGTCTCTTTTTCAGACTGACAACTCAGCATGCTCAGCCATTCTAAATACAGACTGCGAAGTAGTCATGAGTTACATAGAGTAAATAGGTATCAATCATTCACTCTCTTCTCCAGTTCAGGACCTAGCATCCATCAAACAAACCTAGCAGGAGCCAGATTCAAACCAAAAAAAGTACTTGGCTCTTCATGCAACTTGTACTAGACCTGCGGAGCTCATTGGCAAAAGATGTTGCAGTTGCTAAAAGCTGATGCAGCCACAAGAGACGACTGCAAAAGTGTATGAGGAGAGATGTATCAAAGGTTACTAAGTTTACAAAACTGTATCAGGCTGAGGAAGTCCTCTGAGCTGAAGACAGCAGCTTGGAGACTATTGAGGAGAACGTGCATGTTTGCTTGCCCTGCTATTATCCTTTCCCACCTGTACACTTACGGCCTCTGTGAGAAACAGGATGCTGAACTAGGTGGATCTTTGATATGACCAAGTAAGGTCATTCATGTGTTATTCAATGACAAATCATAGAATCATTGAATGCTTTGGGCTGGAAGGGACCTTTAGAGGTCATCTAGCCCAACCCCCCTGCAGTAAGCAGGGACAGCTTTAGCCAGATCAGGTTGCTCAGAGCCCCATCCAACCTCACCTTGAATGTTGCCAGGGATGGGGCCTCCACCACCTCTCTGGGCAACCTGTTCCAGTGCTTCACCACCCTCATTGTAAAAAACTTTCTTATGTCTAGTCTAAATCTATTCTTCTTTAGTTTAAATCCATTACTCCTTGTCCTGTCACAACAGGCCTTACTAAAAAGATTGTCCCCATCCTTCCTATAGGCCCCCTTTAAAATAATGAACTACCAAAACTTCTTGAAGCATACTTGTTTTGCTAGCAAAATGTATAGTTTGCTACCCCAGAATTCTTCAGAAACTGGTGTTTTTTCATGTTTTTTGATGTCACAATGTTGCCCATTGAAAGTGACTGTTTCCCAAACATAGTTTGGGTGCTTGAATTAATATTACATGTGAGGGAAAAATAACAAATAATGTTTTTAAAATAATTTCAGGAATGTGAACAGCAAAAATCAAAAGAGGAAGAAATTCTACAATCATTTCATAAATGGAAAGAGGAGGAAAAAGAGAAATTGGCTGATGAAATAGAAAAAGTGAAACAGATGTTTATGAAAGAGCTTAAGGAGTTATCTTCAAGAAATTCAACTTTAGAAAATGTAAGTGATTTAAATTTTCCAACGTTTGAAGGCATGAATCCTTTACAGTAGATGGTAGTGAACTTCATTTATTTGAAATGTGATGTAGTCATCTTAGAGGTCTTCTTACAAAACTTTGAAGGTAATTATTGGATGATAGCCATAATTGTATCTTTGTATACTGGTACTTTATTAACATAATTTCAGCTCTTTTTTTAATAGCATTGTTTTGGATGAATGAATTATGGCTTCAGCAACTATGTCAGTTTTTTCTTACTCCTCAACTTTTGAGTCCCTGTTTACAGATTAGTAGATATTGTTATTATTGCTGTCTGTAAGGTATCCTTGTATCAATATTCTTATAACTAGCATGGAGGGGACTAACCTCTGCATTATAGTCCTGACAGTAGAACTGTATGTGTTTTCAGCACATGCTCTGGAAATGCTTTCCAAAGTTTTGACTGGAAAGAGAATTGTAAAAGTGTAGGTGGGTCAGAAAACAACTACGTACGGCATTACCAAAGCAGCTTATATTTTGTAGCTGCTAGTTCCTGTGTATGTTTGCAAGGTATATTTATGTTAGATGTACATATTAATTATTACATGAAACTTGATAAATGCTGAACTCATGAGAAATGTGAGAAGTGTCTGATGCAATCTCTGTGTAGTTATGTTTAAAGTAAATTTTGTATTAAATGACAGTTTTATGAAACAAAATCTGTATACCTATTTGGGTCTTCATTTTTTCCCCCTGCCTTTTAGCAACTGTTAGAATTACAAAAGTCCAATGTGCAACAAAAATCCAATTTAGGGACGCTGAAAGACAGCCAAGAATTTACAGAAGAGAAAGCTCAGAGTCCTCAGGATTATCACAGTGTGGTTAAACTTCTTGAAAAACAGGTAACGCTGTAACTTTATGTATTGCTTTTAACAGACTACTTGTGTTCTTTTCATTTTTGTACATCTCTTGAGTAGGATTTTAAATCCATAAGTAAAATTCTCATCCCTCTCAATGTCTAAAATAGCTGGTTTTAAAGATTTGCTGCTATTTAGTACAATCTCTATAATGGAAATCGAGGAATTATTTCCCTTATCCTTTATAAATAAATTGTTATTTATTTATTAATATTCTCTTATTCTTTATTATTAAATAT